CATTCATCCATCCATCCATCCATCCATCCATCCATCCATCCATCCATCCATCCATCCATCCATCCATCCATCCATCCATCCATCCATCCATCATCTTCTGCTTATTTCGAAGTCAGATCTTGGGGGCAGCAGCTTGAGCAGGGAGGACCAGACATCTCTTTCCACAGCCACCTCTTCCAGCTCTTATGGAAGGACTCCAAGGTGTTCCCAGGCCAACTGAGAGACATAGTCTCTCCAGCGTGTCCTGGATCTTCCCCGGGGTCTCCTCCCAGTCAGACATGCCCGAAGCCCCTCCCTAATGTGCCCAGGGAGCATCCTTACCAGATGCTCTAACCACCTATACTGGCTCCTCTCGATGTGGAGGAGCAGCAGTTCTACTCCGAGTCTCTCCCGGATAACTGAACTTCTCACCCTAAGGGAGAGTCCAGCTACAGTTCAGTCCTGCTGCATCTGAAATGAAGCACACAGGTGGTTAAGACTCAGCAGTGAGGGTAAAGGGGCAGCAATGCTTTCTGTTGTACAGTGCTGCTCAGCTGCTGTTTCTCCAGATCTTTGCAACTGCTGAACCAGGTGGTGAGGTCGTAGGTCAGCACAGATTCTGTAAAAAGTGACGAGAAGGGGTGTGGGCTGTCCTGCCTCCTTCAGGTGCCGGAGGGGGTGAAGCTGCTGGTGAACATTTATATCATTAGTTGTGTTGACTGCAGAGGTCGGATCATTTGCCAAGTGGACCCCAAGGGATTTGACGAGGCTGACTCTCACTATCAAGGTGCCACTGATGGTCAGCGGCGAATGATGGTGATGACAAACCCTCCTACAAATCAACCACTATCTCTTTCATTTTCTCCACATTTAAGTGGAGGTTGTGCAAACTGGACCACGTTAAGTCCTGCACTTTGTTCCAGTATTCAGTCTCATCATTGTTTTGGATTAACACTTTCATGTCGTCTGCATTTTTGAACAATTGTTTGGTGTTGGAGCAAACAGAGCCGTCATGGAGGAGCAGGCGGAACAGACGGGCTCAGGACCACACCTTACTCTGAAACAGTTTTCGAGGTGCGGCTATCCATCCTGACCCTCTGCTGTCTCTGTGCCAGGAAGTTCAAAAACCAGCTGCACGTGTTTGCATCCATCACCAGCAGCCTTAGCTCGTCGACCATTTGCTGTGGAAAAATGGTGTTAAACGCTGAGCTGAAATCAGCAAAAAGGAGTTTGTGTTTCTCTGCTCCAGATACGAGAGTGAAAAGACGACGGATGGAGAACGGGTCTTGTCCAACATGAAATACCATCTAAAGGTTCAACTAATATAAAATACAAATACACTTATTATACATTTTAGGTTCTGCTTTTGGATTTATGGCCCAAACAGTTTCAGTTTAGTGAAATAAAATATTTTCTACTCTTACTTCCATTATCAGCAAAGTCTGTCATGAGCTAAACTACTGATCTGACCAGAGCAGAGACAAAGAGCCCCCAGACGCAGCTGTGTACAGTAATGAACTGCTCAGAGCTCCAAGACTGACACCATCATCTTCATGCTCCACTTCCCATCAGAAGTGACACGAGAGAGCAGAGGTCATGAGTTATGTCATGTCCTATATTATAGATAATATGAAGAAGTGCAACCCTTCTAGGCAGCAGCCAGCCCCACGTTACACAACACTTTGGTGTGGATGTTGTCCACACAAACTAGGGTTCCTCCTCTCTCTCTCCCTGGTTCAAGTGTTGCTTTTCAGTGTTGAGCTGGATTGGGTTACACTGACCTGCAAGAGATACAGCCTCATAAATACCTTGCTTTTCATAAATTATTAGCGAGCTCGCAAGCTGTGGTGTGCATTTGTGCCGAGTAAAGGCTGCTGCGGGTCAAGCATTAAGTGTGGACGTAGCAGCAGTGCCAAGATGGACATCTCTGTTCTGCCCAATAACAACCACCCTGAGAAGTTTCTCCAGCTGGACGTTGGGATGTTGGATACCACACAAGGCATGTACCAGGTCGGAGCGTTCATGTCCAGTCAGAGGCGATGGCAGAACAGGGTCTACTCGCAGGTACGGAGCGATCACGCTGCAGCCACTCTGCTGCAGGCTCCTCTGTGCGTTCTCTTCCTCGCCTGCAACATTCATCACAAAATCCTGACAACAAAAGCTTTGATAGGAGGAAGATTTACAATTTGTTTTGTTCTAAACCAAATGGAAGCATGCTCCTCATCTTCCAGTAGTATTTAGCTAATCATTCAGATATAAACAAGAAACTTCCAAAATATAAAGACAGGCTGGGGCTCACTAATCAAATGTTTGACTCCATTGTTTACACATTAGTCATACAAAAGGATATCTGAAACTTGGAGTGAGTGAGCCAGAAGTGAACCAGAAGCCACGTTAAGCTAAAGCTAGCAAGAACTGGTAGACTCCAAATACACTGATGAAAATAGGACGTGCTAAAAGACTAAAAGTGCATCTTACAGTAGAAAACAATTATTTTCCATCCATTATCTTTGCCTGTTTCTTACTTTCCTGCTCGTGGGGAGCTGATGCCTGTGTCCAACAGTCACTGTGCTGAGAGGCAGAATAAACAAGTATACTGAAGGAGGTGATTCCCACAGTATCAGTGTTTCACCTGTTCTTGTTTCTATTGTATCACTAGCAAACTTAATGTACTGGTTTGCATTGACAGTCAAGTGTTGACAAAAAAAAAAAAAAAAATCAATGGACTAAGCACACATCCTTGAGGGACATCTGTGCTCCATATGCTGAAGTGTACGGTCTTACTGCCAAAACATGCACCCTGTTATCCTTCTGACCGAACATTCAAAATCCAGTTACATCTGCTGTGGGATGGTCGTGTTAAAGGCTCATTGTGGCATAATGATATAACTTTATTTTTCTTTTCATGTGGCACAAAGTAGCGAGCAGAGCGTAATGTGATTGCATCATCTGTGAATCGGTTGATGCAAAGGAAGGAGGAAACTGCAAGAAGTGCAGAGAGAGTGGGAGGCTGCCTTTAATGTGTTCCATGACTAGTATCTCTAAGTATTTCATTATGACTAAAACATCACAGGCTGGTGGTCAGTGAGGCAGGTTGCAGTTGTTTTCTCAATCACAAGGATGGTAGCGATCATTTAAAATAGTTTGTACAATCCTCTGGAAAGATCTTACAGATATTCTGCTAACTCTTGCTCAGTTTTAATATGCAACCTTGAATATTATCCAGCCTCTGCTTGTCCTCCTCCCTCATTTCCATCCTGTACTGTTCTTTAGGGCTTCAAACCTGTCCTAAAATGTATCCAGGCCTCTTGAGAGAAATACATTAGTGGCCATCACTTACTTGTGAGTCACAGGTCAGTCACAGTAATGTCACAAGTTGTGACATTATAGTTTGTTATGACCTGAATCTTCTGCTTTGGGTCCCAAGAGTCATGGCATGTTGCCTCGATTGTTTTCCAAGCTCACCCTAGAGTTGCTCTGTCCCCTGACCTCAGGGCTGCTTCCCTAGTTCCCAACCTTCTGTGGCTGTCTGACGCCACACACAGCTTCTGAGTGAAACAAGTTGTAAAGATTTTGATGATTGAGACATCCCTCACATCAGTCAGTGTACTTGATATTAATATGGGGATTGATGTGTGTGATGCAACACTGAACATGATCTACTTAGAGTTTGAGAAGCTCTCCAGTTCATCTTCAGACCAGAGATTGATGTGCATTCCTGCAGCCTCTTTAGTATGTGCAGAAAACATAAAATGAAACATGATCAGTGTCTCAGAGGAGTGAACGAGAAGCTGCTTTGCAATCCTCTTTAATGTCTGTGTACACGTCAGATTCAGTGTGTTGGCTACTTTGGTTTGGAAAGTCAAAAACTGGTGATGTCAGAGCTCAGGTATATTTAAGTTTTCTGATTAAAATCTTGGATGAACAGGTCAAAAGGAAACAGAGTTAAACTGGGGTCTCCTTATCTACTTTTAGGACTTGTGTGAAAATCTGATCATGTTTTAGATCATATTTATGCAGAAATATTAAAATTGTAAAGGTTCACAAACTTTCAAGCACCACTATATATATATATATATATATATATATATATATATATATATATATATA